GATCATCTCCTTTTCCCAGGAATTCTGTTCTATGATCTTCTTTCGAATACGGAGCATCAACCTTTCAACAAGGTCACAGATTTAGCCTGATAGCTTCCACACGCAGTGGTTCGGGATTCCAAAGTCCTGATGCTTTGTTGACGAGAGCCCAACAATGCCCAATTGGTACCTGTAGGTCTCATCAACTAGCTCCTGTTATTTCCATCTGCGGGAGGAGACGGTCCATTCATAAAAGTCAGCTTTTACAGTTTGTATCATTCCTGCAGAGCCTTATCTGACGTGCTATGATGGAATAGTGCTGTTTGCCTCCTTTCTCTCAGAAAGGGTAGCAGCTCCGCTGCTAAGTAACGTCTTCGTTCGTCGTACTGTTGTCGATCTGTGGCGGCCATCACCGTCCTGATACGCTTTCAGCGGTCAAAATTAAAGCAAATTATATTCGCTCACTTTTCACAGTCTGTCTCAGTCAGTTCTCTAACAGCTTGTGCGGCTTTTGGCTACCCGGTAGACGTAGGAGCCGATTTAACGTTCGATATCGGCAATACCGTTGTGGGCAGGTGATAATGCATTCAGAAGATCTTGTAATGTTGCTCACTCTTCCGCATATCATATCTGTGATTAGGACTAGCAGCTCTGGAGGCAGATGTACCAAAATTAATTTTACTAAAGGCATATATAGTTGGATAAAGATGAAAGTAAAATAATAGACCAAATGGTGAGTTCCGGTCAGCAGCTAATAGAGCCGCTTTGACTAGTCACAGATTCGTGATATTATCAGAAGCTAGCAGAGCATTAACCCCAGAGTTGCCCAAATTTTGGTCTGACCATCAAAAACGGACTTCAGAGTTACGTGATCGACATTCGCTGTTGCTGGGAACAGTCGTATTCCTATGCGACAGCAGATTTAGCCGTCGAATTAATTCCAGAAATTTATTTGCCGCCCAATGTGTCTAAAATTTTGATAGTAACTAGCCTAGAAAGGTCTGAACATGTTTCCCTTGCCTGTTTGAATCAGGCAAGGCGCCGGTCCCTGAGGTCATCTGCGGTGCATGAATATAAAATGAGGATCATCACCGTGTTCCGCCAAAGAGAAACCTGATCCTCGTCCAACTGCCCAATGAAGACAACGGGAGGGATAGAGCACGCCACATAAAACCGGGAGTTGAGTTCACTGCTTCTATTCTTACAATATAAAAATTGCATTTTACTAATCAACCATGACTACCGTTATTATGGGACATAATTACTGTAGAAGTTCAAGTAGAAAATCGCGGGGCATTCCGGGCAACAAAGACTTCGTTCATTATTATGATCGCAAAATAAGCGCAGACTTGTTTTCGTTCTAAATCAAGATGGACATCATGAAGAATGAAGCCTCTTGCTTATTTGACATCGATATTCCAACCAGCCCCAGGAGTGAACATTTTCAGACATAATAAACTGGCATGTCAAACATGCATGTCAAAGACAGCTTACACTTTAAACTAATTTCGAGTTTAAACAGTGCATGAGTTATTAAACTGAATTTGTTGTTACGAGCATTGCGTCATTTTAAACTTAGCAGTGCTCATTCACTTGCTTGACAATGATCAAGTAATGATTTTTGAAATAATACTTCATGTTTTTCATCCTGAGCCCGTAGTTATAGCGATACCCATTTGAAGGATTCATGGTTCAGGGCACTGAATACCGCAGATGTTAGAAAAGTTAGAACACTGCCGAAGCGTTTCGTTACACAGAACGTAGCATCACCAGGGCTAGGCTAAGTGCAAATGACTGCTTGAAGGCACTTATGTCCAGCAAGAGAACGATACATTACAATAAAAATGTTATTAAACTAATCAGTCAGAATGTTAACTAATAAACAATGTTAAGTTCTCATTAAAATAATCTGTCATTGTTGTACAAACACGATTCGTCTTCATCCTCCATCGCCGTTTCTCCTTTCGGGTCGCGAGGCAAACGTATCAGACAGAGCTTCCAACGTTCCCGATCCTATGCCAGACTCTCAGCTTCGGCAGAAGACGACTGGAGTATGGAACAGACTCCTTCCATATATTTGCACCAGGTTGATTTTGGCCGTCCCATGGCCCATCTGCCAGTCGGATTCGCAGGAAACAGTTGCTTAGCCTTCCTTCCTGGAGGCATTCGCAACACATGGCCAAACCATCGCAGCTGTGACTTCTTAATCTGGAGGCAAACACGATTTGTCGTATCAGTTTTGCCACTGAACCCAGCTTTCACTAACAACCACAAAAGATGTGTATCATTTGAACATCCGTTTTTCCATTGTCAGTATATGCAATATATATAAAGGAGCCATATGTTGTGAATGTCTCCAGAAAGACAGGCGAAGCAATTACTTATTGGCCATCCGACCGTTCGAATGCCCAGGGGACGTACAAAATTAACCTGGTTTTAATAGATAGAATGAGTCTGCTCCAGTCTCGGCATCTTCTACCGAAGCTCAGACTCTGGCAGCGGATTGCGAGCGTTTGAAACACTGGCTGATGCGTCTTCCTCCGCGACCCGAAGGGAGAAGCGGTTATGGAGGATGAAGACCGAGAAGAAGATGATTTCATGACAATTTTCGGCCTTGTGATGAATGGCACCAGTTTCAAATTCGCGAACAATACCTATCACCAGGCACACGGCGTTCCAATGGGCTCCCGATGTTATAGAGATCTACCTTCAAACAAGAATGGCTAAAGAAATTTTTCGTCAGGTATCGTCAGTCGCCACGACCAATGTGAAATAGTTTTATGTAGGAAGCGTGTTAATGATGATTTTCATTTTCACACGATTATGACTACCAACGGACGAAATAAGTTCTTGGAAAAAATGGCAGTTCTTAGCAATTTTCAGCACGGTTGACAGCACAGTGGTCCGATATACCAGTGCGATAGAGGTTTGGCTACTTTGAAGATTTGGCATGTCCTGCGAATATTGCTTAAGCAGATGATCAAACAGCTATTCTTTGCTCGACCACAAGGTGAAAGACCCCAAGCAAGCCTTAGAATGACTTTGAGCATGCGCGCCAAAGAAATTTTGCTCCAGCTCCACACTTGGGCTGTTTCCTGCCGATGCTTAGACAATGACACAAGGTCATGAGCGCTTGCAA